AGGCTTTCTAAGGCCCACTTGACTTCGCTCTCCAGGATGTCTGGCTCAAGGTCAGCAACTACATTGTCTGGGTTGTCCGGGATATCCAAATCTTTCTGATATAATTCCTCTGTGTATTCTTGCCACCTCTTCTTGACGTCTTCTGCTTCTGTTAGGTCCTTCCCATTTTTGTCTTTTATCATGTTCATCTTTGCGCTAAATGTTCCTCTAATATGTCCAATTTTCCTGAACAGATCTCTGGTTTTTCCTTTTCTGTTATTTTCCTCTATTTCTTTGCATTGTTCATTTAAGATGGCCCTCTTGTCTCTCCTTGCTATTCTTTGGAAGTCTGCATTCAATTTTCTGTAACTTTCCCTATCTCCGTTGCATTTTGCTTCCCTTCTCCTCTCTGCTATTTCTAAGGCCTCGTTGGACAGCCACTTTGCTTTCTTGCATTTCCTTTTCTTTGGGATGGTTTTCGTTGCTGCCTCCTGGACAATGTTACGAGCCTCTATCCAAAGTTCTTCAGGCACTCTGTCCACCAAATCTAGTTCCTTAAATCTGTTCTTTACTTCCACTGTGTATTCATAAGGGATTTGGTTTAGATTATACCTGAGTGGCCCAGTGGTTTTTCCTAATCTCTTCAGTCTCTTCAGTCTCTTCAGCAGAAATGCTGCTAACAAGTGTTTATCTATTTCAGACATGCACACCCAAACTTGTAAAGGTGGGATACTGAATGGAGCATAGTTCACAAGTCTTTATCATGTTTTCAATGCACAATGACAAGGAACTTCAGTGGGTCTAAAATGCAGCAGCTAGATTGTTGGCTTGGGCTGGTCACCGTGACCACATGACCTCCAATATATGTATAGTTACCCTTGAGAGCTTTAAATATGAACCACCCTTGTGTCCTCTCTAAGGAAAAAAAATTTCAAACAAAGAAATAAATCTAGCAGAAATGTATTAGCAAGCTCCAGCATATTGATGGAAATAGTAAAAACATATAAAAGTGGGGATCCAGACTTCACACTTTGAATTTTGAGCCATGTTGTTATCTGCCCTAACTAACGGGTGCTTCTCTTGCTTATTTGATCAACTCTTACCCATGTAAGGAACCATGGAGTTTGTCTATTGTTTCCTTGGGATCTTCTCAAATTTTACTCCCATGGCAGGCGGGTGATACGGGGGGAATTTTCCCCACCCCTGAGCTATTCAACATTTCATATGTGCTCCACTATCACTCAAAATCTTTCCACAAACCAGACTTATAAAATTATTCCCATGTAGTTTTTTTGATGTATCCTTAAGTTTTGGCTCAGACTGAAGCTGTTCCCATATTCTGTGCATTTCAAAGGTTGCCCCTTTGTATGAAATCTTGGATTAATAGAAAGATGAGTGGTTATATTAAAGATACTCCTACATTCTGTGTATTTCTGTCACATCTCCCCTGTATGGCATCTTTCATATCTACCGACTGTGTGAGTCAGTATTCTCAGGCATCTAGAGATGTGGAGTTTCTTCTGTGGGCTCCAAGAAAGACAACTGACAGACGGGGATCCTGCCAAAAGGCCTCTCTGAGACGTTGGTCCATCTCTCCCTTTCTCTCTTCAGATAGCGTGTCTCTCTCCTCCCTGATCTTTCTCCTCCACTTCCTAACTTCTTTCTCTCCCAATATGAGGGCTTCTCCGGTCTTACTTCTCACTGGCTCCTTTCTGACTCTCCTGAGGTACCATCAAGTTATCCCACTGTTTGGTCCAGGGTTTCTCCATTCATATCTACTCCCAGCCTTGTGGTAATATCCTCTCCTTCTTTTCCCCTTCTACCTCTCCAGCCTCTGCTGTCTCCTTTCTTGATTGTTCCCCAAGATATATTTATCTTCGCTCCTCCTGTCCTATTCCTTTCTTTTTCTCCTGCACCAAAGTTCCTTTACCCAGTGGATCCTTCCTTTCCTCTTATGGGCCTTGTACTTCCCTAACCCCCAGGATCTTTATTTCCAGACTCTCCCATCCCTTCATTGGTCTCAACCTTTGATTCTTCACTCGGAGGTATCTCTGTATCATCAAGGTTTTTTCTGTAACCCTCCTCATCTATCTTTCCATTCTCCCCATGAAGGTGTCACTTCTCAGAATGGTCACATGTTCTGTTTCCTGGGCTCCATGCGCTTCTCCTGCCTCTTCTCAGGAAACGACTGCACTTCAGACAGGATGGGTTCAGCCCTTCTTTCTCCATCACATAGACAGCCAGTGACAAGGTGTTCGAAGCTCATCTGGTGTCTCATAAGAAGTATTTTCATTGTTGCAGTGATGCCAAGCAATTCTAAAACTTGTTAATTCTGTACAAGTTCATTTATTTACATCATTTCTAGATTCCATACTTAATTATACAAAATTCAAATATTGAAGGCAGTCTTACAGGCGTGAGGAAAAAAATGTCGGTACAGATATTCAAATCGAAACATAATACAGTTATGCAAAAACTTAAAATACATCCTTTCACCTTGTAAAAAGAAACAGGTACTGTATTTAAATTTAGATAATAACAAAAATTTAAGGAGTGTTTGAATCTAAAACACAAACTCATTAAAACATTGGAGATCATCATCTACAAAGACAGAATAAATCTTCAGAACACTTCAAACTTCCAGAGAATTCAATGATAAACAGCAAAAACCCTTATCATTTTCAATGAAAGACATGCAAAAGTATTTAAACTTTTAAAATATATAGAAAGTTAAAAAGCACTACTTGGTTCTAAGTGTGTTGTTTAAAAAACAGAAAATTTTTTCCTCACTCAGCCGTGTGTAAAATCCATTGCGGGCTGTCACTCGCTCCAGGTTATTTTTCCGCTCTTCAAACAACTTTCACACGGCATCAATTCCACTGTCTGTTGTACTCCATGAAAATAAAAATCTATGGTTCTCCCTTCCTAATAACACTTTGTGTGAAAATTTTTCCAATATTTATATTCCCTTCGTTCTGCATCAGCAAAACCAAATCTTCCAAAGGCTTGGGATTCCCAGCCTCCGAGAAGCTCAGATGTTAAGGATCAAAGGATTTCATCACCTCCAACCCAGTGCAGTCCAGGGCCCAAAGAGAGCAGATCTTTCAAACTTCCACTGCCTTGCAGCTATATCCATCAATGGAAGAGGCCTTGGCAGTAAAGGCAAAGTCCAGAGGCGGTTTCTGACCCCCTGGCAACTCCTGT